AAAAAAAAAAAAAAAAATTAATTTAGGCTGGGCCTGGTGACTCACGCCTATTGTCCCATTGTCCCAGTGCTATGGGAGGCTGAGGCGGGTGGATCGCCTGAGCTTAGCTGAGTTCGAGACCAACAGAAGACCAGAATGAGCATCCCAGTGAGGACCCCGCCCCCCTCTCTCCAAAAATAAAGCTGCGGGTTGAGGCAGGTGCCTGTAATCCCAGCTACTTGAGAGGCAAAGGGCAAGAGAATCGCTAAAGGAAAAAAAAATTAAAAAGAAAACTTCAAACTAAGTGAAAGCCAGCTAAAATTGAAAGCAATAAAAAAAAATTTTTTAATTTAATTTAAAAACCATAACAATCAGGTTCTCATACTTTCTAGACCTAAAGTTATATGTAATAAGAACATTAATGACTACAACCAGGAAATTCTACAAGATACAAAAAAGCAAGAAAATATTCAATTTAGTATGTGACGTATTTTAGAAACAACTTTCAACAAATATTCAAACTCAATGAAAAAGTAAATAAAAATAATTACACGATCTATACACCACTGTTATCCAGTAAGATGTTGTAAAATCCAAAGTCAATCCAAAAAGTTTCATCGTGAAACTTGAGGTTACCTGCTCAACACATTATAAACACTAACAGGAAACAATCTGCCTTTCAAAATGCAGAAAACCTTACAGACACATAAATATTTGAGAAAATATTCTATATTGTATTAATAAAGCCAGACAATTCTTTAAGCAAATTTTCCAATAAATATTTCAGCCTATGATTAAGGCACATTTACAATATCATCTATGAAAAAAGGAAAGACTTAAATATTAGAATGTTTTTATTACCCCACACTGACCGAAAATGGAAAATTCCACAAACATATAAAATACAGAAAGAAAAGAGTCTTACAAGTTCTTAAGGCACTGGGACCACGGAACAAGCTTTACTGTACGATGTCCTTGTGACCAAGCAAAGTATGAACCATCTGGAGCAAAAGCAACAGTCCAATTTTCACGACCACATTTCTTGTCGAAAGGAGCTGCTGGAGCTAAAAGTTCGCCTATAGTCCGTGATCTCACTAAAAGAAAACAAAAATATAGGATATCATACATAAGTGAAAATGAATGTAAGACAGCTCCCATGTTACTGCAGGATTCACTAAGTTTTTTCCCTTTTTCTATGCAGACACAGGGTATAGTGAGTTCTGTTTTCCACTCTCTAAGGGGAAGTATGTGGTATGAAGATCCTTAATGATAATAACTATCTTAAAGTTTGGGTAAAGTGATTTTCCTAAAGTTTCCCAACCCAAGAGTTTAAAAAAATTAATAATAATGTAATGACCTAAATTAGGGCTAGCAAGTACTAAAGTCCTAACTTTTGCGTTACACTACATTGTCATCAAATTACTCACATTTAAAATCCAAGAGATTAAAATTACTCTGCAAGAAAAGGTTATCTTTCAAATTAAGATTTTTAGGCTTCAAAAACCATAAACCACTATGTGGATTTTTTTTTTTTTTTTTTTGAGACAGAGCCTCAAGCTATTCCCCTGGGTAGAGTGCTGTAGCATCACAGCTCACAGTAACCCTCCAACTCCTGGGCTCAAGAGAGTCTCCTGCCTCAGCCTCCCAAGTAGCTGGGACCACAGGCGCCCACCACAATGCCTGGCTATTTTTTGGTTGCAGCCGTCATTGTTGTTTGGCTGGCCCGGGTGGATATGAACCCGCCACCTTAGGTGTATATGGCTGGCGCCTTAGCCACTTGAGCCACAGGCGCAGAGCCTACTATATAATTGTTATACTATTACTCGAAAGAAAGCATTATAAAATGGTCTATTCAAACATAATTATTCTTACCCTTTCCACGTCCAGGTCACAAAAATATAAAATCCTCAGAACTAGAAGGGATTTAAAGGTTGTCTAGTCTAACCTCACAACCAGTGCTTTAAAATGCACTATATTTATGATTTTCAAACAGTGGTGCTTAAGAGTCTTCCTAATGGGCAGCACCTGTAGCTCAGGGAGTAAGGCGCTGGCCCCATCTGCCAAGGGTGGCGGGTTCAAGCCCTGGCCCTGGCCAAACCGCAACAACAACAACAAAATAAATAAAAATAAACTGTTTAATTGGGAGTCATGGCTCTTGTATTTGCCATTAAGGGGGAAGAACAGTGTAAGGCAGGCTGGTCCAAGGAGGCATGACACTGGGAGGCCAGGGCCCAGAGGCTCATCCTGGCCAGCTTTGCTGTGTGGCTTGCTGTCCTCATTCTGGGCCCCTTGCTGCTGTGACTGCTCTCCTATGCCATCGCTCAAGCTGAGTGACCCTGAGTGGCCTCTGCTGAGAGCTAACTGAGACCTCCTGGATCCTACAATGCGGCATTGCTAAGGTCCAGTGACAGCAGTGGTCCTTCTTGGTTGGAAGGATGGGGACTCTCAAGGGGCTGTGGAGGAGCTCCTCTAGTCCTTTATAAAAAGAGAGTAGCAGCTGAGACTGATGAAGGGAGGTCAGCCTGCTCTGTTCTTTCAGTGCCCGCTACCCCTGTCCCTCACACTCCATCCACCCCACCCTAGGGGCCTCCACCCACAGGAGTGGTTGAAGACCAGGCCTAATTTTCTTAAGAGTTTGTTTTGTAATAAAAGCCTTTTTTAGTGGTGAAAATAAATAAATAAATAAATAAATAAATAAACTGTTTTTTTTTTTTTTAAAAAGTCTTCCTAATGTGCCCCAAACTCACTCAAAAACAAAACAATTTTGGTTTTTAAGGACAAAAAATGGACAATGTCAT